GGGGGAGGGGCGCTCGGGTCCCGCCGGGCCGGGGCTTGTATCTTACCCCCTTCGCAAGGCGCTGGGTTCTTGCAGGTGTGGATGTGGTCTGGATGTTGTCCTGTGTCCTGTGGTCTCTATTTTAGGAAGATTTTTCTTTGTTATATTTTCATAGCTCTATGTGTTTTGGGGAGGAGATTTCCACTGCTCTACTCACGCCGCCATCCTGGCTCCGCCCCCCGAGTTTAACTTTTGACTAGCTTGTTTAGGAGTTTTTCTTGTCCTATAATGGGGAAAAAAATACCTTGAGTCAAAGCAATAGATAGATGAAAAGAAACTTCTGAGATACTATTCTAGCCCATTAAATGAAGTTCTTGTGAGTTAAGAATGATCTTCGAGTTTGTAAATTGCTACATATCTAGTGAGTCAGGTACCCACTTCCTAATATTTTGTCAGCATATAAATAAGAGAAAGTAAAAAAAGTAAGTATGAAAGTGCATTTTAGGAAATGGGAAAACTTATAAAGCCTATATATTTAAACCTGTAATTTTTGTAGTTATGTGTTATTTGCAAACAGAAACGTTAAACAAGACATACAGTTATTACCAATAATTTGAGGAATTATATTAACTGCTAAAACAAGTAGGATTATTTCAAGTGCAAAGTCTACATGTATTGAGAAAGGTACATTTCAATTATGGTTTCTTAATGGTGAAGGGCTATTTTCCTTTAAGCTACTACTAAAAACTGGGCAAAACCATGGCTCTCAGATTCTTTTTCTGATAATATCCTTAGCAAATAATGTATTGAACAAGTAGCAATGAAAAACAATTCAGTTACTTGAGAGCTAGGTGTAAAGGGTGAAAGTGCTTTGTTTTTGGGGGTGTCGGCTGGGAGTGTCTCCTTACTAACAGGCTATTTTAATTTTGTGTCCTTCAGATATTTGGATTTGAGCTGCATTTTGGAATTTATCTACATTTAAAATGCCACCAGCAATTGGAGGTCCAGTTGGATACACTCCCCCAGATGGAGGCTGGGGGTGGGCAGTGGTAGTTGGAGCTTTCATTTCCATTGGCTTCTCTTACGCATTTCCCAAATCCATTACTGTGTTCTTCAAAGAAATTGAAGGTATATTCAATGCCACCACCAGTGAAGTGTCATGGATATCCTCCATCATGTTGGCTGTCATGTATGGTGGAGGTAAGTACCCAGTAAGGCCTGCTGTTTTAATTTTCATTAAGCAGCCAAAGGTTCTCTTTTAGGTAATATATTTTTTTAGGTTTTATTCAGTGTCATGTTTTGAAATGTTATTATTTCTTGAAACTTTGTATTTAGAGTCCTGCTTTTCATTCCTGTTAACAATGACAACTCTTGCTGTGTTTATTTCATGGTGGTATTCTGCAACGGAAATGCCAAATTGTGAAGAGTCCTGATTTGTTCCAACTCGGTATCATTGAGCTTAAAAAAACTCTCAGAAGAATGAAATGTGCACAAATGATTGTTCTTATGCTCTCTGCTGGACTCTTGAAATGCAAACGAAGATTTTTTTTAATGATGTTGGGACAATTAAAGTAAATCAGGCTAAGCTGAATAACACGGTTCATAGTCTCAAGTAAAATCTGTTAATGGTATTAGAATTAAAGAACTAAATCTCCCCCTTGTTTCTTGTTATGCTATTAGTACTAAAAACTTTTCAGCTGCACTTCAATCTCAAGTTTTATCATTATTTTATTTTCCCCTTCTGTTTTTTTTTTGGCATGCTGTGAAGAGTAAGTTGCTCAGTTAACATAATTTAAAATGCTGTTTGTTTCACCTTGGAATATCAAATCCCCATTTAACTTGTAAAAGTCAAAACTACCATAATACTTAAAATCTGTATAGTTGCTTAGTTAGCAAAGATTCTGAAGCCATGTGTATTTATTTACTAGAATTGACAGTGTCTCCTGTTGCTTATTTATTTAGCCAAGCTTTCTCTTCTGTTAATCTTACTTTATGGTGGCAGTTTAGTACCTCAGATTATTTTCACCTGTACCTCTTTAATAGCCCATAGAAAGATTCTTTATTTCAATTGTAAAATCTTAGCCTTAGGCTTCTAACCTGGTGGCACAGTCAACCAGTATTTATTAAGTCTTACGCACATACATAGCCCAGGGTGGAATGAGTAATGGAGAACCGTTGATCCTGATCCCTGACTTTGTGAAGTTTGTAATCCTATTGAGACAATAACATGAACTCATTTAATAAGGAGAAGCAGTTGAAGTAATTAAGCACATAATTTCATTGCACAGAAAACACAGGTAACCTGGTTGCCTTAGAGAGAGATTTGAGTCATTGGGTACACAGGACTGGGGAAGACTTATTTTTTCTATGTCTTTTTTTGTGCCTTTTAATTTTTGAGTGTATGCTTGTTTTGTCTATTAAGTACTTTTTGAAAGAACATAAATGCTAAATTGTAGTACTTAGTTTTTTTCATAAGTTTGGAAATTAAAAGGGACTTTGGACATTTCCTAGCTTCCGAGGGCAAATCGTTTTTGGAGGCTTTGAACTCCATCTGCCAGGATTTCTAATCAGGTTTTGACTATGATGGCTTGAAAAAATTGGTGTAAGTATTATTCAGATATACTCCACTCAACGTTATCATTGAGCTGACTGCAGACCAGGGAGAGGCTCCCATGTTACAGTTCTGAGCTGCCAGAGAGCTTGAGCCGCTTGAATTTTGCATCAAAACTAAGTGATGTCAGTTGTGCTAATTGCACATGACACTTTTTTGGGGGGAAACAGTTCCTCCTTTGTCTTCACTCAGAAATAACTAGCACATTTCTCTGAATTTATGTAATAATAGGCCTATAAACTGTAACCCTCTCTATTTTTAATAACAGCTAATTGGGGCCATCCTTCCTGAAATAACTCTGAAAGACAAATTGCCTATTATGAGTGTTGTGTCAGAATTTTTACTAAATGGGTTATTTTGTTTTGATTGGCTCCTAAGTGGTATGTCCCTAAGAATTATCCTCACTTTGACAACTGTAATTCTTTAACTTATGCATTTGGGCCACACCCACCACAGTAATAGGTTTTGAGCTGTGAGTGGTTTAGTGTTCTTTTTTTATTAGTGCTTCGGTTCAAAGGTACATACTGAGGCTTCTTACTATGTAAGTGTATTTTTTAGGGGGGAGATCTTAGTTGCCTACTCCTGGTTATTTGAGTTTTTCTTTATAAATATTAAAATGTAAGTTTATATATTTTCAGTTCCACTGTCAAGTCATCTTAATATCCCTAGCTTAGAATTTATAATACTGCAAACTTAAAAAAAGACTTCAAACTACTATGAAGTATTAACTTCAACTTCACCGAGTTAACAGTGGCAATATTTTAATCATTACAATTCTTCCTGTACAAAATCTGTTACATGACTAATTTATGTGGACATATTTCATGAATATTCTTTCAGTATTTAATTCTTTCATCTTATATAGGCTATAAATAAAATTATTTCCAAACCAGCAGTGGTCAGATATTTTTATGAAGTGACTTAGAAGGTCAATGGAAGCTTCTTTATACATATCGTTGGTTGAGCCTGAAGTCTCACCTGGCAGCCAGTCCTTGACCCAGCCCCTGAGAGAGACTCTGTTATATGTGTGTGTGTGTGTGTGGATATATATATATATATATGCATACATACCATAGTTTGAATTTGGCTTCCCAGAATATATGTAAAAGGGAGAATATGAACTGCTTTTGAAACTTCTCACTGGCTTTGTGACTTTGCAAGTTTATCAGGTTGTTTCCTTGTGTCCTCTTTCCTTCTGACACATTGCAGTGACCCTTTCCTGTTGGCAGTCATCTGCCTTAACCAGGCAGACAAGTTGTGGTATCATTTAAACAAAGTTGTCATTTCCACAAGTCCATATCCATGAAGTGGAGACATAAGTATTCTTATAAATACACGAAATTCAACTAATGTCATTCAGTTTGTAATCAGCAACTATTGTTAGTCTGCTTAAGAGTTTTGTTACAGCTTTGAAAACATTGCTTGCTTTGGATAAGACTTTCTTATAATTAAGACTTTAAAATTTGGAATGGGGAAATTACAGATTATACCTCTTTGAAGTAAGTAAGGAGAGGCCATTTGACATTTTTATTAAAAAGCCATTACATGAAATACATAAAATCTTTCTTCCTAATCCTTATACTTCACTTATTTGGTTCCTTCTCATTTGGTGCTTGTCCAAAAATTAAAACAGAGCAAACTTGCTAAATATATGTTGATTGTATCCTAGATGTATCAGGAAGCCTGTGACCATCTACTACCCAGGTATTTTCAGCCCGTTCTGCCTTATAAGAGCAAGATTGAGGATAGACTAGCGTCTTTTACATCTTATTAAAATTCCATCCAATATTTCTAGATATAGAAGATATACAATTAATGATTTTTAACATCTGTATTTTCCAGTACACATACTTAGGCTCTGAAATAATATAGAAAACAATATTCTTACCATTGCCTTTTGTTGTATTTTAGAGGCCTTGTCATTTAGTGTCATTAATGACTGTGTAGATGTGAGGGGGTAGGTTCCTTTTTTCTCTACATCTAAATTTTTTGTTCTTTCCTAGGTCCTATCAGCAGTATCCTGGTGAATAAATATGGTAGTCGTCCAATCATGATTATTGGCGGCTGCCTGTCAGGCTGTGGCTTGATTGCAGCTTCTTTCTGTAACACTGTGCAGGAACTTTACTTGTGTGTTGGGTTCATAGGAGGTAAGTTGCTGTTGATTGATTTTCAAGCATTAATTAATTGCTGGCTAATTGGTATTCATCTGCATTTGTCTTTCAGGTCTTTTGAGTGAAATTCCTTCCTTATAGAAATTACTTCATTATCATTTTTTAGAACTACACGTACATTGAGTACTACAAAAGCAAACTCTTTCAAGAAATTGCTATCATACATTAGACTTTAATTGTTGAATGAAGAAAGAATGAATTGAAAGAGATGATTACATCCCTTATCCTAAGAATAGTTGGTGGTAGATAAAATGTGCAGGAGTAGTCATTAGTTATTATTTTCTCTTACTGCCTCTTCCTTCCATGGACATTAGTCTTCTGTTGGTGCACAAGAGGGCATTAAACACAAAGCCCAAATTACCCAGCAGAATGTCCAGACACATTTCTGAGGTATAAAGAATCTACTTGATAATCCCTCATCCCTTTTTTTTGGCCAAATTAAGATAATGAACTGCTGATGAGTGTAATAAATAAAAATTACTCATAACTTCACAATCCAAAAATATGACTAATTACCATTTTGATGTATATCCTTTCAAACTTTTTTCTGTGCACAAATATGTAACTTTTTTTAGAAGAATAAAGGATCAGGTTACAGAGGTTTTGTAACCAGTTTCTTAATGATACATCATGAACATCTTTCCATGTCATTAAATATTCTGATAATCTTTATTATTCTGTTAAGTAGACATATACTATAATTTTATTTGATCAGTCTTTCTGTTTCATTTTTACAGTTTTTTAATATTAGTAAACAGTACTGTGTTACAGTCCTATGAGAATATAAACGTTTTTTTAGGATTAACTTGTAGAAATAGGACTGCTGTGTTTTTTTAAATACATAAAAGCTAAATTGCCCTCCAGAAAGGTTATACTCATTTACAGTTCCACCACAATATATGAGAGAGGATATACCTTTGACAACAAAGATATATTATCTTTTTAGATCATTGCCAGTTAAACAGGTAAGTAGTATCTCCTGGTTTTAATTTGTATCGCTTTATTAGGAAAGTAAATGTTTTTTATGTTTGTGACTATGCATTTTTTTTTTTTACAAAATACCACTGTTGCGTATTATTTAAGAATAATGTGTAATAATTTTACACATTAAGTTTTTATCTCTTTGCATGAGACATCATTATTTTTCCAAATTAATTTTTAAAGTATTTAATTGTGGCAAAATATACATGACTTAAAATTTATCTTCTTAACCATTTTTTAAGTGTTCAGCTCAGTGGTATTAAGTGTGTTCACATTATTGCATATTTATATATACAAGTGTGTGTATATTGTGTATATATTTCAGGTATGTTCCTGGACTTTCCATTTTATTGATTAGTTTTTATCTATTCCTGAGTCAGACCCACACTGTTCCAATGATTGTGGCTTTTATAAGTCCATTTAAATATTTGTTTAGTGTTTAGTCCCACTCCTTCAACCTGCACACCAAAAATTTTCTAGTTGACACACATATATTCTCTAAGTATGTTTTAGAGTTATTTTACCTCACTCCAAAATGACATTTTCATTGAAATCACATTAAATTAATGCATTCATTTGGGGATTACTGACATATTGACAATCAATGTTGTGTTCTGTTATCCAAAAACTTTGTATATGTGTGTGTGATTTTTAAATTAACTGACCCTTGAGGAAAGTTATACAATTGTAGCCATTATACATTGAATTTCTTTTTGGTGCTATTGTAAAAGGAATAATTTTGTATTGTATTTTCTATTGTAAAACTATTCCGTCTCTATTTGCTGTCTACTTAATGAACTTCCATGGTTACAGTGATCCTTCAGATAGATGATTTTGTTAGATTTGATAAGTAGACAGCTATTCACCTTCAAATAATATAAACAATAATAAAAATAACTGACATTTAAGAAAACAACAACAAAAACAAAAAGTAACATTTATTGAGTGCTTACTACATGCCAGGCAATGTTCTATCATACCTATGTTGTATGCCTGATTTACATATTAGTAATCAGTTGTAGGAGGGGCAACATGTCTGACCTTACACAGCCAGTTAGTGTTGATGCTGAGATTTGCACTATTACAGACTTAATTTTAGAGCCCAACTTTAAACCACTATCTAATATGTCCTCTAATACTGAGGATTTTTGTTTCCTTGCCATTACTTATACCTCTTCTTTTAATTTCTCTTCCTGGTTAAGCAATTCCAGGTATGTTTTGACACATTTTTAGGGTATGTGATTCTCTTTTCGCTTTGTCCCTAGGTCTTGGACTTGCCTTCAATTTGAATCCTGCTCTGACCATGATTGGCAAGTATTTCTACAAGAGGCGACCATTGGCAAATGGACTGGCCATGGCAGGCAGCCCTGTGTTTCTGTCTACCCTGGCCCCTCTCAATCAGGCTTTCTTTGGTATCTTTGGCTGGAGAGGAAGCTTCCTAATTCTTGGGGGCTTCCTGCTAAACTGCTGCGTAGCTGGAGCTTTAATGCGACCAATAGGGCCCAAGCCAACCAAAGCAGGGAAGAAAGATAGGTCTAAAGAATCCCTTCAGGTAGCTGGAAAATCTGATGCAATAAAAGGGGCCAGTGATGCACATACAGATCTTATTGGAGGAAACCCCAAAGAAAAAAAACGATCAGTCTTCCAAACAGTAAATAAATTTCTGGACTTAACTCTGTTCACACACAGAGGCTTTTTGCTATACCTCTCCGGAAATGTGCTCATGTTTTTTGGACTATTTACTCCTCTGGTCTTTCTTAGTAATTATGGCAAGAGTCAGCATTATTCTAGTGAGAAGTCTGCCTTCCTTCTTTCCATTCTGGCTTTTGTTGACATGGTAGCCAGACCTTCTATGGGACTTGTAGCCAACACAAAGTGGATAAGACCTCGAGTGCAGTATTTTTTTGCTGCTTCTATTATTGCAAATGGAGTGTGTCATCTGCTAGCACCTTTGTCCTCCAGCTATGTTGGGTTTTGTGTCTATGCGGGAGTCTTTGGATTTGCATTTGGGTGGCTCAGCTCTGTATTGTTTGAAACACTGATGGACCTCGTTGGACCCCAGAGGTTCTCCAGCGCTGTGGGACTGGTGACCATTGTGGAATGCTGTCCTGTCCTCCTGGGGCCACCTCTCTTAGGTATAGTATGTCACCCTATTTCCATGTTTCTGTTAACATAAAACAGATGCAGAAGATTGGGAAGGTGATAGAAAAGAAAGCAGGGTTCAGTGAATTGCTTGATGGCGGATTCCAAGTCTTTATTTCTGAACCCTCAGTGCTGGAGCAATGGTTGGCACATCGTAATTAGCTGATATACCTAACATAAATTCAAGTAAAAGTGAACCATCAAGCTGAAAGAGTCAAATATTTTTATGAAATATATTTTCTCTTCAAAAAACTTACATGTGAATTACAGTTCCGCCTCTAATGCATTGGTGGTGATTGCATTTTAATGATGGAGTTTATTCAGTAGTGATAATTAACAATAATAGTTACCACTTAAGCTCATAGTGTACCAGGGACTGTCCTAACCATTTTCCCTGTCTTCTTATATTTCACAAGCCTATGAGATAGGACTAGTATAGTTTCTACTTCATAATAAGGCTTTGAAGAAAAATAGAGGTTTTGAAAGGTGAAATAGTTTGCCATACATTACACAGCTAGTAGGTGAGTATATAAAGTAGGAACTATTTCTAAGTTACTAAATGTTCATCTTTTGAATCAATACCTCAATAGGTAATACATAGTGAAAAAATAGTTTGGCCCTCCTTTTGGATGTTACTCTTACTTTTGGAAAAGTATGATTTGGAGAGGGAGTGAGTGAGGATACATAAAAGAAGATCTACAGTTGTCTCTTGATACTACTCTTGCTCTATCCAGTGAGTTGCCAAGTCTTGTCAATTTTCACTTTTGAAATCTCTTAATCAACCCACTTTCCCATCACAACACCACCCTTAGCCACATCTCCTGTCTCCCCATATGGGCTCTTCCACTAGCCTCCTAATAGGTCTACCCATATCAGCTCTGCTAGGCTTCAATCTGTTTGTTACTCTGCAGGCAAAATTATCTTTGCAAATGCAGATCTGATATTCCAGCTAATTAGAACTTGCCAGTTACTTCCCACTCTTCTTGTGAAGATCAAATTCCCTAGCATGGCTAGGCTAGCATAGGCTACAAGGCCTACGTGGCCTGGCACATCCATCTCCCAGCCCCATGACCTCTCTCTCACCTTTCATTCTCTCTTCCAGCAGCCCTGTTCCTTCGTCCCCTCACCTCACACCCTATGCTTCCTATCTACCACCTGTGTTTGCTCTTGCTGTCCCCCACCTGGACCCTTTCCCATCCCCTTTCTCCTAGATAACAGCTTTTCTCCTGGAAGTCTCAGCTTAGTTTACGCTTTAGGAGACGCCTTCCTGACCCTTCTTGCTGGTGCAAATCCTGTTCTCTGCGTCCATCTCTCCTTGGAGCCCTTGTCACGGTCCGTGTAGCTATTTGATTAACATTTCTCCTCCGCTGAGCTGTTGATGTTCTGTCCTTTGCTCACCCTTATCCTCAGGGCCTGGCAGACCCAGTGCCTGGTTCATGTGTAGAGGCTCAACAAATACTGCTGAGCAAGTGCTGCCCTGAGTTAGAAAGGCAGATGGAGTCATGTTTGAATTAGTTGTATTAAGTCCTTCACAGGTTTAGGGTTTTCATAGTTCACCTCTTTGAATAATACATTTTTCCATCATGTACCAAGAGAACGGATTCTAGATGATCTCCAGGCCTCTCTCCAATTTGCCAAGATTTAGATTTATTTTCACATTGCTCAGAGTAACATGCAAAGCCATCCAGAATCAGGTATGACATCATAAACAAAGGATCAGATCATTTTTAGCAGCTCCTTTTCAGACATCTTTGTCCTGTGGTTGGGGGGAAAGGGTAACCTTGTTTACTTCTACCCACGGAACTTATTTGTTTGGCACATCTTTAGGTCGTCTCAACGATGTATATGGAGACTACAAATACACGTACTGGGCCTGTGGCGTAATCCTTATTATTGCGGGTATCTATCTCTTCATCGGCATGGGCATTAATTATCGACTTGTGGCAAAAGAACAGAAAGCAGAGAAGCAGCAGAAAAAGGAAAGTAAAGAGGAGGAGACCAGTGTAGATGTTGCAGAGATGCCAAAAGAAGTTGCAGACGCAGCAGAATCTTCAGAGCAGAAAGGCACAGAGGGAAGCCCCAAAGAGGAGGAGAGTCCAGTCTAAACTCATGAGGCTGAAGAGTAAATGGAGTAGCTCATGACCCAAGATATCTGAAAATATTCTGCAGGCCTGTAATCTATCAGTGGTGCTTGATGGAAATTAGTGGACATTTGTGTGGACACCATACCAGGTATTCATTGATGGAATTTTTGTTTCACTCCTTACAAGTGGCCTGAATTTAAAATGTCATACCTTTGGAGAGGGAGTAAGTGGCAAAGAATGAGGGAAGGAAGTTGTTTTTCTGTTTGTTTTTTTAATCTTAGCTTTTACAGTGTCATAAAGATTATAACATGTGCCTTAAGTTTTAGTCTTTAGAACTCTTTAGATAGCCTTAACTTTTAAAACCATTATCCTGACTTCATATATTTTAAGTGTTGTGTTACAAGGAAAAATGACTAGTTTTAGACATCTAAAATTTTTTAATTAATTTTGCTTCATTATTATTTGTAATATGTCAGACATTGTCACTAGAAGATTTATGAATAGAAATACTGGTCGAAGGTTGGGGGTTTTATAAAATCCTGACTCAAATTATTTTCTTAACATCAATAGTTGCCTGGTATATGTGCCTGCTAGTTATATATTTAGGAAACTTAAGGCATAAAACTTTGGAAATATCTTGGCTGTTCTAGACACATTGTGCCATCAACACCCCTCTGGTATCTTTTTTCTTGGGATGCTTAGCAGAAACCCAGTGCTTGAGAGTTGATTTCATTATATTACTATTTTTTGTTCCCCTTTCCAAAGACACAGTTTGATTATAGGTCTTTGCCCCTTTTGAGATCATTTAGTGTTATTTTCACTGTATAAGTTAATATTAAAATATACAAAACTACATAATTGTGCCTCCTTAGTAAATACAACATATCTAATTAAATGTAGACATATATCAAACAGCAGCTGAATTCAGCTTAGGTTTTTCCAAAACCTCAGCTAAAGTGTAAGACTTAGAACTTTATTTGTTGTTTTTTTTCTGGAATTTTCCCCCATTGATCCATACTGGTTCCATTAATACCTGCTCTAACTTAGAGCTGTATGTGAGATAGTCACTCTTTGTTTAGTTTTTTTTTTTTAATGTTTGCTCATTAGAGCAAGCCAGAGAGAGTTGGCCCCAAGCAAACCAATAATGATAAGATTGGGAGGAACCTTGCTAAGTGTGCTTAGTTTCAATAAATAACATCTTTTCTTTTTTCTGAAAAGGACTTAAAATTATGTTTTGCTTATAATTATTGGACATATTCTTACCCTCCACACAAACTTAAAAATTTTATGATTCTACTTACTTACCTGAAAAGTAAAGAAATGGGTTTAGTATAGGATAGGAGAATGGACCAGAACGAAAACTGTAAATATTTTTTAACTTAATATCTTTTAAATTGAGGCAGGAAGATAATAGACATTCAATGAATTATATTCAATGCATTAAAAAATGCAATTGTAATTGACACAGTGAAAGTATAGATACAAACCTTGTGTAAAAGGCTGACTTTTCCAAATAAACTTTTTTTTCTTAATGTTTCAGCCTCCAAATGTTTATTTTCTTGAGGAAAATCTTTTCTGTCTTCATTCTCATTATCAAGATACAATTTGGCCCTTGCTAATATTAAATCATTCAGCTTATGTGCTTTGCGAGTTGTGTATATGGCTTATTTTATTTTGATTTTTCTTCCTAAGATAAGCAGGAGGGGAATTTTGAAACCACCTCTGAAAGCAGAGAAGTTAACTTTTAGAATGAAACTCCCTTCCTTTCTGTGCCCAAGTGTCACAATAAATGGAGGAGGAATTTTAGGGGAGAATCCTTCTGTGATTGTTGGCAGGCTTGGCTTCATTTTGGACTCTGTTATTTTCCATGCTCAAGTCTTTAACTTGTATGTGCCTCTGTCTTGCCAATGGGTTTCAGCCCCAGGCAAGTTCACTGTGGATTCAGTGAGACCAGGGAATGACAATGGAAGGTTCTTGGGGTGAAAGTGTTTATACCAACTTTATTCTTATGGTGGCGGGTCAATCACTAGAATCCCGTCCACTCAGAGCAAGTCTGCCTGCAGCAAGCTGGTGTCTGCCTCAGGGCCTCTCTGTCCCCGCAGCCATCTCAGTCTCTGTCCTCAACACTGCCACCACTCCAGTCAGCTCTCCTGCAGCCATGCAGCTGAGCAGCTATGCCACCATGTCACCCAGAGCACTGGGCAGAGTTCTTTATATAGAGTCTATAACAACGTATTGCCCATGTATGTAGTGAGCTAGCCAACCAGGGCCAGGTAAGAATCCTGGCCATAGGAACCTTCACTTTATCCACAGCTTCTTTCACTGTCAGTGAGGTAATATAGGTAAAGGAAATGTAGGGAGAAGGGGCCAAAAGTAGAGCTGGTACATGGGATTATTTTCCCCTATGGGGAGACCTTTTCCCTTCTTCCCTTCCAGGTTCTTTGGATGACCAAATAATTAAGCTGATGTAACAGGAGGAAAAACAGACGATTACCTACATCTGGGAGCCTCCTCACATAGACATGAGAGGGTCAAAGATGTCAGACAGTTGAGGCTTATATGGAGAAAGGGGGTTGGGGTCTGAGGCTTCAGAAGGAGAATTCATAGGAAGGTGGAAGGAGCAATTTTTGCCATCCCTTGTAGAAAAGTTTTCCTTATGTAAAAGAAGTTATCTTTGGCAATAATTCTCTTGCTGGTATAGGCTCCTTATCTAAATTCTTTTAGGCAGTTAAGGGGGAGGGGGAAAAAAGCTTCTTGCATCAGTAGATTGCCTTTAGCTCAAATAATTAACATGCCAAAATGACGCCTTCTGGGGTAGCCTGCCCTTGTGGGGAAGTTGGGGTTCCTATGGCCAGGATCCTCACTGAACTTAAACCACTTGATGATGTTAACTGTCCTGTTGCTAGGCTACTGCTTCCCCACCCATAGGCAATAAGCAATTATTGCACTATATAGAGAGCTAGGCCCAGTAGTCTGGGCGGAGGCAGGGATGGTAGTGCGTGACCTACCGCCAGGAGGACAAGCCGGGTAATAAACCCTTTCACCCCAAGAACCTGCTACTCTCATTTCTTTGGTCACATTGAGTCCATAGTGAATTTGCCTGAGGCTGAAACGCATTGGCAAGGCAGTCCTGAGCCCCATCACCTCACCCCAATTGTTGAACTCATCCACAGAGAAGACCCTGTTTAGTCTTGGTTCAATTGTTCAGTCTTGTTAGAGAAGTTAGGGGTATGTAGTACAGATTCCTCACCACTTAGAAGGAGGGGTTCTAAAGCTGCTGCATTCAGAGGCAAGGGTTAACTGGCTCAGATCTGAAACAGCCTTTAATCACTCAGTCCAAACCTTTTTTCCACTGAAGAGACAGGTTTTAAGGTATTTATTCAAGATGAATTTTGTTAATAGCCAACACTAATATCCAATTTAGGCCTCCCCTGTGCCCTCTATTCCTTGTTAACAATCAGCTGATCCTCTTTGTGTTGCAGTGTTGTGTTCAACACTGGAAGCAGCTGGTCTTTCTAATATGGTCTATTGTCCCTTAATCCATGTGAAGACTAAGTTTTACTTCAGCTCACACAGTTTCAATGGCTCCTTAGGAAAAATAGGTGTGTGCCCATAGTACCTGCCTATCTTTGCTTTTCTGTGTCCCACACTATTAAGTCACAGCACATGTTGAGGTCTCAGGTAGTTTTAGTGCCCAAAGAAGTCACTGTTCAAGGGTACACCCTGAAACAAGTCAAAGCTGGAAAACTATTTTACAAGCTGATAGATCGGACTTTTACAGATGATTATGGTAACAAACAAGACCATATTATGTTATACTCAAGTCTACTGAGAATTTGAATTAACTAGCCAGGTATGGGGAAAATGGAAGCTCCTTTGGCCAGGATCCTCACCTGACCCTGAACTGCTTGATTATGTAATTGGCTTACTTCTGGGCTACTGCTTCCACATCTGTAGGCAATAAACTTAGTGACTGAGTCACTATATAAAGAGTTCCACCCAGTGCTCTTGGTGGATGCAGAGGTGAGGTGGGTTGTGGATCTGCAGATTGCTGAATGCAGATGTGATTCTAGTGCAACCTACTACATGAGAATAAAGCTGGGTATAAACCCTTTTACCCCAAGGACATTAAGTTGTCATTTCTTGGTCTCACCTAATCCATAATGAACTTATCTGGGGCTGAAACCCTGGGCAAGACACCAAAATATATGAGTAATTTCTACAAAAAGTATTCGGGAATGGATGATGGTAAAACAAATTATGGAAAATTCAAGGTATTTATCCCTGACTTAATCACATTTGTGAATGAACCTCTGGATTCTTGGGTCATTGGAATTTAGTAGTTTCTGTTTTCACCATACATGAATATGTCAATGTTAATCCTGTATCTTAAAAAGGAAAAAAATGTTAAAATCTGTTTAATATTTTTGTATGAACTAGTATTTCATTGTATTGAAGTTCAGATTGATAAATTTGTTATTGTTTATATGAAAAACCTAAATGGGTTTTACCTTCCCTGGCAAAAGGTTAAGAGTATAATAAACTTAATAATTAGATGTGCCCCTCCCCTGACACTTTTGTTTGGAAAGATTAGGAAGTGAAATGTTCCACCTTTGGAAACTGGCTTTTTTAATAATCAGGTGGGGCACTTGCCTAGAAGACATAGAGAAAGGTTAATGATAGACTTATGTCGCTATTGAAAACTTTCAGTATTTGGCAGGAAGTGGTAGTCCAGACTTGCCTGGATTGCCCAAATGTGAGCAATTAAGCCAGGTTGCTTTAGAATTTAGAAGCATTGAGACAGGGACCATGGGCTTAGAGTAGAGTGAGGGCCTGCGGAAAAAGCAAGGCAAGATATTTACAGTCAAAACAATGTAACAATGTAAAGTCCATATTGAAACTCTGTGTTCAGCATTATGCAAAGTCAAGGTCACACTAATTCTCTAGGGTAAAGATACCGGACTAGGAATATAGACATCTTCAGTGAGATCAGTTAGAGGTCAAAAGGCCAGGAGCAACTTGGCCTGGAATGTTTGAGTGTTCTGCAAGGGTGTCTCAGCATAACCCGTGACTTCACTGTAAAGAGCCCTAGCAAACACACAACAATGCAGCCCACCTTCAGGGCAAGTGGTACAAGGCCACACCCTAAGCCCTCAGTTCCCAAAAATCCTCAAATGCTGATAAATCCCCTGGACAAACACACCACCCTGGGTTCTCTTGTCCCCTCCTGGCTTGAGCCAGGAGTTCTTTCCTCTCATTTTATCTCTAAATAAAAGCCTGTACCTTGCTGTCCTACCTTGAGTGTTTGTGAAGCTCATTCTTCGACTTCATGAACAAGAACCCCAGCTGGCATCAGCATCTAAGGTGATTTCAAATACATTGTTCCTAAAATGTGTTCTAACTTTAGGGTTTTAGAGTCAGTCAACCTTTCCTCCTTCGGTCTGGTGCATAGTGACAAAATTATTCATTCAAATGAGTGATTGGAAAGAGTAGTATGTATATGTATAAGTGTCTTTTTCCTCAGCTGAACAGTACTTGTTTACTTATATTTTGTTGGATTTTACTATAGCTTGCCTAGAGGAGGCTGGGATAGCCAGCAAAGGAATCACTGCCTACTGGTTGCTTAACATTATAGGCTGTCTGGGTTCAAATGGAGGCTGTGTGACCTTGAACAGTTCCTTAGTCTCCCTAAGCATCAGGCTTTTTCTTCTATAAAGTGTTAATACTAATTAATACCAGCCCCCCAGAGATGTCATAAGGTTAGTTGGTATGTAACAGCTCATGGTAAGCTCATGTTAATAAGTGTTACCACCTGACTACTAAAAAAAAATCAAAGAAAATTAATACTTAGGAAAAAAATTGAGCTATTCTGCTTTCTGGTGGATCCTTACCTGGGAAAAATAGTTTGGGAGTGACTCTTACGGATATTCTCTAAGTGCTCAAAAATCCTTTTTGATCAGATCCTCCTTTTAGTCTTAACAAATGTAACAAAATAGTCTTTCTTTGGTAAATGAATGGATGAAACTAACAACTCAAGAGGTTGGTGTGTATATGTATGTCCAGCTCTCTAAGGTGAATTTGAATCCCAAAGCCTTTGCTCCTATTCCAACAGTACACTACCTCCACAAGATTAGTAGCCCATAAACTTTACCCCCAGTATTTGTAATGATTTTTAAGAAGAAATTTAAGTCAATCATGATTAAAATTCTCTGTCCTTAACGTTTTTAAGTGCAAAATGAAAGATTGATGAGGCTTTAATTTTCCCTACTACATCTATAACATGATTGAAATGGTGTAACATTGGCAAAACAGTTTGATAATATGTGTTAAGTACCATGAGTTCACATCTTTTCCCTAAGAATTTCAGGTTTGAAATTTATGTAAGAAAATTGTCTGAAATTACCGATTTCTTTAAGAAATCCTTAAAACATATATCAAATGGGTAGTTATGAAGTCCTTCTGACATAAATATGGCACAATGTTAAACAAAAAGGCAGAATACAATTACCATAACACATCTCTCTATATATAAAC